TTGAGGGATTGAGTCCATATGTCCTACTTTCTCGTGTTCGTTTTTCAACGCCTCTCGTATTATTCTTTGACCCAAAAAACAGATCATTAATTTGGAAAAGCACACTCACTAGCACTTGACCAAACGCATTACAAAGATGGGTTTCACGTTTTAGGTCATCACACTAATAGCGACATGCGACAAACCCGGGAGCCGGGCCGGTTTTCCTTTTCACCCCGGAAGCTATTCGGTCTCCATGCGAACAGGGTCTGAAGCCGATCGGGGGCAAGGGGTGACGGGGCTCCGTTCCCGATTGGATATCGAACCGACCCGGTCGCTCGCTCGCGCCTTGTTTCGACGCTGTTGTTAGTTCTTCTAAGAACAGAAAAGGGGACAACTTTGGGTGACATTTGCAACGGCCCGGGTGACTGGGGACTGAGAAAAGGGCAAAGACTCGGTCAGAGGAAGCTTTTTTGACCGGGCAAAAGAAAATTTGATGAAGCCCCCACCAATCATGCCCCAACTCTACAAATAATTTGCATAAACTAATTACAAATTCTCAATTGGTGAGAGAGAACGAGAAAGAGAAAGAGAGAATCAGCAAAAAAGGGGTCAGATGGGGGAAGAAGATGGGAGGAGGAAGAAGATTGACTGAACTTGTGTTTGGTAGCTTTTAACTTTGATAATGGGGGACTGTTTTCAATGAGGCTTTGAGGATTGATATGGCGGTTCCAATTGGCATCTTCCCCAGACATTTTTCTAACACTTGCAAACAAAGTTTGCATCTCTCTGGTTGTGCCCCTTTAGGGATCCATCCCCCCCTCATCTAATTCCCCCCTCTCCTTCTTAAAAGGGTAAAAAAAAAAAAATCCGAATCTTTTATGTCGCGCATGTATCGCATTACGTGCCGATTTCGGGTTGTGCGTCCGGTTAGAACTGTTAGTGTTTCCGTGGCCTCGTTGAAGACGTGCAGCTGACGAAAATACTTAATTGGATATGTCGGCTCGTCACTTGATTTATGTATTGCATAAATTTTTTCGGGTTTTTGTAATTTTATGTGTCGGGTGAAGCTTTTGATGAATGTCATGTCTCTTATTTTTTTTTATAGATGGAGCTTTTGCTAGGAAATATCTCTTTTGATGAGCTGGAGTGACTCATCATATCTCGGCAACGTACATACATATTAAGTCAATCAATGATCTATGATGAGACAAGTTAGGGATCTCTCTCTCTCTCTGCCCCCTCTTCAAGCTCATCTTAAAGATATACTCTGATGAACAAAACAACAAGAGGGGTGACGAATCTTGAGCATATTACCAAACAGAAAAAAGAAAAAAAAATAACCCTTAAGTAATACCTGGTAAATAAATTGCTCCACAAGTTGCACTTATATAAGCCCAGGCGGCATTTTATCTATTTAAATTCTAAACAAAATATGGGTTAGGACCAACCAAATTGCTCTATAATAGCTTGTTTTGTAATTTATCATGCTGATGATTATTGGGTGTTTGCCAAATTGGGTCCTCTCTCATCATCTCTTGGTTTCTTAATCGCCACTCCTTGCTAATTCTCAGTCCCATCAAAATAGAGGGTCAGTCATATCTCATCAATTAAATGTTTCGCATATTAGGTAGCACAGACAAATTCGGATTTTTAATAAATGCCCGATTTTCGATTCGGTCCCAATTCCGATAATTTGAATATGTCCTGATTTTTATTTACTCAAGTATATATCTATATTTTCGGCTTAATTCTAAAAAAAAAAACACCAACTTCACCTTGAGTAACAATTATGACCCGAACCTTTTTTGTCTCATAAAAAATCACAAACTTTCAGTTAAATCGCAAATCTGGCTCGGACAATTCGAAAATTTCACATTACGGAGGTTAGATTTGCGACTCGAGTAAAATTTAGTACTTTTTATTGAAACAAAAAAAAGTTCGGGTCAGAATTATCACTCAAGGTAAAGTCGGTGCATTTTTTAAAATTAGCCACTATTTTTTTCATGCAAATGCCATTGGTTTTTATTTTTTTATTTTTTGGGTTTTTCTTGGGGGGGCTGAGCCACATGCATTGTTTCAAGACAAATCCCATCTCTGTACCTCCTGCTTCATGCATTTAGGTGGCTACCACATTGAAAGCCCAAGAGACATCTTCTTATCACCACCAAATTAATCAATCCAACTTGAAAAAAAAAGTAATTTATTCTATTTTATACAATTTCCCCCCTTTTATTCTCTAATTAATTTATAGCAATTTCTCTTGGCCCATGAATTGCAGCAGCCCCTTGGAACAATTTTTTCCAGGGCACAGGGATTTATCCTTATAATTAAAAAAAAAAGATAGTGCGCAAAAAGACAGAATAAGCAAAAGTAAAATTTAAAAAAAAATAAAAAACAAACCAACAAAGGAAGAGACTGGAAAAGAGGGTATGAGTAGGCTTTTAGCCTAGAATTCGATCCCAATCTCATCAAAGAATATTTTTTTAGAGATGGCAAATCATTATCAATCAACCTGTCCTTTTTTGAATAAATAAATAAAAAGAAAAAGAAGAATATTATAAAATAATAAAATAATAAAAACCCGGAAAAATTCAGACGGTGCCAAACAAATAGGTTTAAAAACGAGAACCTCCTTTGGTTTGTCCTTTTCAGCTTACCGTCTTTCCCCTCCCTTGTGTGAGTTGGAAGGTCCTCCATGCTTCCGCCTTTGGTTCCCCCTCCATAGAAACCCTAGCTCTAATTAAACAAAAAAAAAAATTTCTCGTTAATTCGAACTTTTGTTGTATTAGTTGTTAAGCAATAGCCTACCATGGATTTTGACCCTTTTTTTTTAAGCGGCCGGATTGTGCATCGGCGGCAGATTCCGTGACCGGGCCGTTTGATCAGAGATGCTTCGCCCGTCGCGGGGAATAATTATTCGATTAGTCCGGTCTTTTTGCCTATAACTAAACGTGGACATATTTAATTGAGGAGGCAAATGGGACCCGGAAGATTTGAATTCAAGACCTTCTGCTCTGTTACCATGTGAGATTTCGTAAGATCGCTGCCATCTGTTCTAAAAGCTCGGGGTTGTTAGATGAGGGCGTCGTTTAATATTTAATTAGTCTGAAAAGGTCGAGCGCGACAATCCCCGTCCTTCACAGAACATCAATCGGTAGCCTTTCCATTCGTAACACGCGAATTCTCTGCATTTTTTTTCTGTCAATTTTCAGTACAGGAACATAGATCTCCATGTAAAAAACGACACGGGATCCGAAAAACATCTATTTCTAAAAACATTCTCGGGAAGCACTCGTCAACGCGGAATTTTACGAAAAATAAAAATTTATATTAAAAGAGAAAAGGATGAAACTTAGGTGACGTGTAAATATATAAAAATGCCAATTGGCAGATGGGTTGCGTGGCCTGCAGCTGCAACTTATCGCCAGAAGTGTCCTATTGGAAGCTCCGATCTTCTTCTTCTTCTTCTTCTTCTTCCGATGCCTTTTTTTATTAACCGTCTTGAACAGGCTGTACCCTTTTGTCAACGACGCGTGCTCAGCAAAATTTTATTTATTTTATTTATATTTTTGGCCCCCCTGTTTTGCGTGCAATTCGAGATTCGATCCCTGCACAAGCTGCGAAAACTTCGTAAACGTCCTTCATAAATCGAAAAAAACCGAAAAGCGAAAATCTCGAAGTACATCATCTTTGTTTCTGTTGGGCTGTGGGGGATGCTCCTGCTTACAGAAGCAATTGCGTGTAAACTTTTGGCATCATTAGCCGGTCCAATCAATGTTGCTAACCCTTTTCTCGTTTTTTCAAGCAATGAACAAGGGAGACTAATCATTTATTTTTCATTAAAATTTAAACAAAATCGAACAAGCTATTCGACATTCGTCGAGGGCATGATTCGTGTATGTTCCGCGTACAATATGCTAGGTAGACCGTGGAAGCTCGATCTGGGCGAGTTGCTTATTAGGTATTGCCCACGGAAATGAATTTTTTTTTCAAGTTTTTAACACGGACCCATATTAGATTTTTCGAAATGATCGGTTGGTTAATGGAAAATTCGGCATTTCATGAAAAAAAAAACAGAAAAATTGAGCTGTTCATATTTTCCGGATGAGTTATCATTGAGAATTGGAATTGAGGGTGCAAAAGTTGAAATTACACAGGAAAAAAGGGAGGTTAAAAAGTAAGAAAAAAAGGGACAGATGAATGAATAACATGATCTGGAATCAACCCAAAAATCTCTGTAGACGGTTACGAGATACTTTGCCTTTTTAAAGGGTAGGGAGAGATCACAGATGTTAGGCTCGTAAGGTGACAGCCCAGCTCAAAAATATTTTTTTTTTGCTATTTCAATTTTTTTTCCCAGAGCACGAAAAAAGGAAATTCCTTTTTTTTCCCAAAACATTTAGTGCCCAATCTGGACCAATCATAATCTTTTTTTTTCTGGACAACATTGCCCCCCCTGCACAGCGGCCACTTGGGCCAAGAACATTTTGGGCCCAGAAAAACCCAGAGAGGCCATCTGAGGGAAATTTTCGAAAATTTGCAGCAAAAATTCCAAATGAACAAGAGAGTAATAAATAGCCTGGCCAAAAAAAAAACACACAAGGCAGTAAATGAATAACTTTTTCTTTGAATAAATGGGAGAATTAAATGTGCATCGGGTGAACGTGCGAGTGTGCAAACCACTCTCTCTTGTGCTGCCTCCTCCTTGCCGTCCATCTCTCCCTCTCGCTCTGTCTGTCTCTCATGGGGTAGATACCCATCCATTTTCCACCTCCCGGTCCACCACCGTTTCCTCATTTCTACACACATCCCATCCTCCCTTTAACTTCTTTTGATATAAAGACAACATTGTTTTTTCCTTCGCCCCCCCCCCCTTCCTTCAAATTCCTCACAGGACACAATCATATCATTTTGACGCAGGGAGAGAGAGAGAGAGAGAGAGAGAGAGAGAGGGTGGGAGGAGGGGTGAAAGAAGTGTGGGCGTTTTTTGTTTTTTTTTAACCTCGTTTTTGCAGACACCCAGAAACGAAGTGGGGATGTTCCTGTTGAGCTGAATTAGAGAAGGGACAGGGCAGAGGCTCGAAAAAGAGAGGGGATTTTGAGTAAAAGGGTCGGCTCAATTTTTTGGTTTCAGGAGGTGGTGGTGGTGTTGCCGGGAAGGTCCTGGTTGAAATCATCGTAGCATTGACTCCACAATCAAGCGGGTAATCATTTCTAATGATGGAGTTTCACACACCCCCCCTCGTCTTGCTTTTGCTCTCTTTGTTTTTTTTTTTCTTTTGTTGGTTCTGTTATCTTCGCCTTCTTTTTGCTTGCTGAAGTTTTGGAAAAAATTTTGTGCTTTGTACCTCACTTTCTGTATGTGCATTTCTGGGCCATGCTTTGATTGATTTTTTTTTTGTGGGAAAGGTGTAATTTTGCTGTTTTGGTTTTTCTTTTCTGTCGACTGGCAGCTGACAGACACGTTTCCACATTGTGGAATGTTGTGGCTTCCCTATTTTTAGATCGCGCTGTCTGTTAATCTCGTTGTCTCGTCGACGGATCTTGGCCAAATTTGGAATACGATCCATGATTTTCTGGCAGAAAGTCTGAGAGTGTCTTCGCTAGTTTGTGGGTTTTTCTGGGTCCAATTGCTTTTAAGTATGCAGAGCATCTTTAACAGAGTTGATTGTGCAAAGGACAACGAAAAAATGTAAATTTCTCGTATTTCTGTTTCCCATGTGATAATGTATTCTGTTTACGGATCATTTCCTGATCTTGAATTTCTTTTCGGAGGAGCTGCTTTGCTTCTCAGATTCTTGGAATTGATTTGATTCGAAATACGCCGAGCAGTTAATTGGATGTATTTTGTACTCTTGTGTAATGCCTGCTTGATCTGAGCAAGCCTCAAAGGAACCTTTATCTCATGGTCCAGCTTCTCTGTCGAATTTCAGTGGAAATATGTTTCATGTGTTTATTCAAGCTGCAGCTCAATATAGCTGTACCTATTCTCACATCTCCTACGTTTGTTGTATGGTTCATATTTTTCAGAACATTCTACAACACCACGATAGTTTTCAGTCTATCCTCACTTTGAGCTGAGGGTTAGCTGTATCATGACTGGGATGGATGATAATGTTGCTGTGATTGGCGATTGGGTGCCTCCGAGTCCGAGCCCAAGAACCTTTTTCACTGCAATGCTTGGTGATGACATTGGTTTGAGGTCAGGACTGGAAGCTTCTGGAAACAATAAGACGGAGGGGCTTTTTCTAGGATCTCAAGAGAGGATGAATATGGGAAACTTTGAAAACAAGGACAGAAAACAAGTTGGTCCTAGCGGCGGTGACTACTCCAGCGAATCCGGCTTGGCTGTCGAGCAGAAAGGGTATTCGCGTGGATGTCTTGTGGAAAGGTTGGCGGCCCGAGCTGGGTTTAACGCCCCAAGATTAAATACAGAGGGAATTAGATCTGCTGATCTTTCATCGAATCCTGATGTTCGGTCTCCTTATTTGACAATCCCTCCTGGTCTAAGTCCTACGACCCTTCTTGAGTCCCCAGTTTTCCTCTCGAATTCACTGGTAAGCTTGAGGTTGATGATTCTGTTACTGTTGGGCTGTCTTTTTAAGGTTGAGATTGGATGGTGCGTGTTTATGTGGACTTATGGGGTATGTGATAAAGGAGATCGGTAAAATTATTTATTCTGTGGGTGGGTTCTTAAAGTACTGTGTAGTTGTTGATGTGCTTTTAAGTTGTAATGTCTTCACTTACGCGAAAATTGGTTTCTCGAGTTTGAGACATTGCCTTCTGTCTTTGGCAGGCTCAGCCCTCTCCGACCACGGGAAAGTTCCCTTTCTTTCCTAACAATAATAGCAAGAGCTCCGGGTTGATATTAGATGCAAATACAAATAAAGATAGCCCATTTGAGGACAACAGTTCTTCATCATTTGCTTTCAAGCCTCTTGGGGAATCGAGTTCCTCCTTTTTTGGCGCCGGGAGCAAAGTAATTGTCTTCACTCTTAGATACTGGAAATATATGATTTTCAAGCAATATGTCTCAAGCTAATTATGAGAAGTGTGAATTTCTAAGCTTAGTTTCTTGATTTTTTGAAAGACGGGCAAGAATTTAGTGACTGTTATTTCTGTTAATTAGTCTATGCCTTGTACAATCAACATGCAGATGAATCAAGCCACATTTCCTCAGCAGTCTTTCCCCAGAATCGAGGTTTCAGTTCAGTCAGAAAATTCTGTCCAATCTCGTAATGTGGAACCAACCAAATTGCAATCCCAGAATAGAAGCGGCTTCCAATTTCAGGGAGACTTTTCCAGGTCATCAACAGAAAAAGTTGCTGGTCATGATGGGGTGCCATCTGATCAAAGGAACTTCGGTACCGTTAGTGGTGATCCTGAGCAGTCTCCGCCGCTGGACGAGCAACAAGATGATGAAGGAGACCAAAGAGTCAGCGGAGATTCCTTGGTAGGTGTTAATGGTGGCAGCCCTTCCGAAGATGGATATAACTGGAGAAAATACGGACAGAAACAAGTCAAGGGAAGCGAGTATCCAAGAAGTTATTACAAGTGCACTCATCCCAGCTGTCAAGTTAAAAAAAAGGTGGAACGATCTCACGAGGGCCATATTACAGAAATCATCTACAAGGGGGCCCACAATCACCCGAAACCTCCACCGAACCGCCGATCTGTCATTGGCGGAGCCAATCCCCTCGGTGACATGCAGTTGGACATTCCAGAACAGATGGGCTTGCAGAATGCTACCGATGCCGATCAAGCTTGGGCCAATATGCAGAAAACTGTTGGTACAGGAGGTCCTGAGTGGAGGCAGGATAACCTGGAGGTCACGTCATCACCATCTGATGGCCCCGAATTTAGCAATGCTCCGACCTCTTTACAGGCACAGAACGGTGGTAATCAATTGGAATCGGGGGATCAGGTGGATGCGTCCTCTACTTTTTCAAATGATGAATGTGATGATGAGCAGCAGACGCACGGGAGCGTATCTTTGGCTTATGATGGAGAAGAAGATGAATCTGATTCAAAGAGAAGGTATTAATGCCTCCCTGTTTTCTGCACGCGTCTTTTGGTCCATTTTTTCCTTTCTTTTGACATTAGAGAACCTGAGCATCTCTTCATCCCGTGGTTCTTCAGGAAAATTGAAGCCTATGCAACTGATATGAGTGGGGCTTCAAGAGCCATTCGTGAGCCTAGAGTTGTGGTCCAGACGACCAGTGAGGTAGATATTCTCGACGATGGTTATCGCTGGCGCAAGTATGGGCAGAAAGTTGTGAAGGGAAACCCGAACCCAAGGTCACTATCATTTTCATCTCCCGTTTGAGATTGAAATTTTCTTGTCATAGATTGCAATAACATCCAAAGCTAAGCGAGAAAAGTTGTCTCTCTAAGCGAGGGAGCACATAGTAAATGACCATATATCGCGAGATTTTTTATTTTTATTTTATCCAAAAGCTCACATTCCAAAACTTGAAACTGAAGACCTTTGGTTTCGGTGCAGGAGTTACTACAAGTGCACAAGTGCCGGCTGCACGGTTAGGAAGCACGTAGAGAGGGCGTCGCATGACCTCAAATCGGTAATTACTACGTATGAAGGAAAGCATAATCATGATGTTCCTGCTGCCAGGAATAGCAGCCATGTCAACTCTGGTGCATCTAGCGCTATACAAACCCAGTCCACCGCCTCTGCAGTTCAGACTCAAGTTCATAGGCCCGAGCCCTCACAAGTCCATAACATGATGGGGAGGTATGAAGGGCCCGGGTCGTTAGGTTCGTTTAGCCTACCTGGAAGGCAGCAACTAGGCCCCACTCCCGGATTTTCCTTTGCAATGAATCCACCCAGATTGGCGAATCTTGCGATGGCTGGGTTGGGTCCTGGCCAGGGCAATCTTCCAATGTTGCCTGTTCATCCATTTCTGGCTCAGCAGCGCCAGGTGCACGAAATGGGATTCATGTTACCAAAAGGAGAACCGAAGGCCGAGCCAATGTCTGAGCCTGGTCCGAACCTGTCTAACAACTCCTCAGTCTATCAGCATATAATGAGTAGACTGCCGCTTGGACCTCAGATGTAAATGTCACCGTTTTATTTTTTTGCTTAAAGAGAACAAACATCACCTCATAATATATAGCTTTTCAATAGCGATACATATTCCTGTTGTTTTTGCTTGTTTAACTTCTGAAGTTCTGGGAATTTGACATTCTTTCCTGGCTTTGACAATATAGTCTCCATTTCCTGTTCAGTGATGCGCGCAGCTCAAATTCATGTAACATAGTAGTTGCTAATTTGAAGCATCGTTGTCTCGGAATTTGTTACCAAAACCTTGCTGAGTAATATATCCAGTTCATCAAGCTTTGTAGGCAAAACGAACATTGAGCTGCGTCTGCGATGCATAATGTTGGTGCAACGTGCACATATTGTGTTAAAATAGGAAAGAAAAACAGAAGTGCAAATCTTGTAATATTTTCGGTTACATAGCAATGTAACGGTGTAGCAGTCAGACAAAAGCTTGCCATGGTGTTCATTGATCTTAACATAAGTAAATGAGGCAAATATGAATCATTCAGTTAACAGGAATGAGGTATAAAGGATATACATCCAGCACTTCACTCGACTTTAATTGATTCATTGTAGAATATCAGGTTTGAGAGGAACATGACACTTTGTAGGACGCAAGGAATTTACTTTCCTACACTATTGGATACATATCTCTTCTCATGCGACTATTTCTTTTATCGACCCACCACATTTGTCATCCAAGAAGGACCGGGAATGAGCTGTATATAAAAATGAAAAAAATTACAAGAAAAATTCTGGTAAAATACAAAGATGCATCTTTTGTCGGAGAAAGCCCCGGCCGACACGGTTCTATCGTCAACCGACTCTGCTGGCCAGATCACAGTCTGGACAAGGCAAACTTTCAGCAGACACACTAAAAATTGCTGGTAGTTTGGCCGCAGAGGGAAGAAAAGGTTCTTCAAATGTGTAGCCTCCTTAATGGGAGTTTGAAATCGAGACTTCGAGATTGCTTTCTTTTCTGTGTTGATTTACATCTTTTCGGTGCTTTATTTCATCTCTGCATCAACATGGGAATGTCAGCCTTGATGTTATGAAGCAAAAGTCAGATGCGACAAAAAATCTGTCTATTAAGAAGAAACTTGCACATAGAAATCACCGTTTACATTATGAAAGCATGATGAGCCAAAGTGCAAAATAGACTAAAAAGCAATTCTGATAGCAGACAAGACTCATGATAAGTTCACAAAGCAATTAATGTTGACAGGCACAGGATTTCAACTCCTTTCTTCTTCTTTTTTCTTTTTCGTTAGGAGCAAATCAGTAATTATGAATAGACTGGAGGCTCCTAAGAGAGAGGCAACAGTTTGAAGAAAGATCACAGACATGCCAGGTTGCAAGTGATTACTTTCTTCAAACACCGTAACAGTCTCAATGGCAAATAAACTAACCTTGCTAAGCACGGTAGTGCGAACCATCTGCCAAGATACAACCAACCATTTCACCAGTACCTTCCTAACTTAAGAAATTTGCAGCATAATTCCATTCAGACGTGATGTGGTTTAAGATATGCTAACGAAACATGTAGGATTTTTCCAATTGCATTTAAGCTACCCTTATACTTTTATAGCAGCCATCCTTTTCAACGGATGCATGTTTCAGGAGCCTAGCAACAAGAAAGTATCCCATGGAATGAGACGGGAATGCATTGTTAGTACTTACTTAAACAATCAACAGCAGAGGACAATTCCGAACAACATTAAAACTGTGAAAATGGTAAAAACCTGAGAATGGTCTGTAGTGAATCATAGTGAAGGATAGCTACAATTCTTCTCTTTCGTCCTTTTGGAGGTTCTCCACCACGCTTTACCACTGGCAATTGCTTGATCCCCTTGGCCTCCATCAACTCTTTTGCCGTTTCTAAATCAGTTTCTGGGTAGCACGTTAGAAGTCCACGCTCTTGACCACGATAAGTTATCTTCCTTGTACATATGGAAGAAACGAGAGAAGTATTTGCCTGTAAAAGTTACAATCCCAATAATCAGGCATGGGATTTAATTATGGACCCTTGGTGGTCAGCCCAAAGGTCTTGGGGGGGGCGGGGTGTTAGGTTTAGGAAGTCCAGGCTTCAATTGGAAAAAAAAGGAAAAGGAATTCCGGTGCAGAGATTGTCTCATCAACAACTACAGAATGGCCATGACATTTGAGAGGAATAATAAGCATACAGTAAGAAAGGGAAGCATTGTGTAAACAACATACATCCTCTAATGCAGCATCACCAGTCAAAGCATCAGTAGGCGTTTTGGATAAATAGCGTCTTATGTCGCCATAAGTTAATATCCCTTCAAGCAGATTTTCCTTGTCAACCACAATCACACAACTTTGCTTGTTATCAAGCATGCATTTACTGGCATCCTTCAAGGTCATGGCAGGAGAAACCTTCACATACTTCTTTGACATTGCCCGAGATACCTGAAGTGCAACATAGAAGGCCAAATAGGAAATATTAGGATAAACGTAACAGGTCAGAAAAATAATCAAAGAGAACATTTGACAATTAGTAACAATAATCATCAAGCAACCTTAAGATCTGCCAAAAGAATATCTTCGTCATCCACTTCAAATTGAGCATCAATGGGAGGGAGTTCTAAACCATGCCCCTCAGTATGCCTCCACTCAGCATCACTTTTGTCTTCGGCATGTGAAAGATAAGAATAGCCTTTTCGTGGAGTTCGTGATTCAGATGCCTCAGTCTCCTTGGCTTGGTTTGTCACGGAGGGCACCCATATCGCTAATCCAACAGCTCCCTAAATTTGTTAGAAACAAAATCAATACACCAGACTTGAGTATAGTTAAATTTCACTATGAATCACAAATCACCATAAAACCGACAGGCTTGATGCTGTGCAATATGAAGCAGTAACAAGTGCGACAAACATACCAAGGTTGTACCATCGTGAACAGTTAACTTGCAATGGAAGCCACTAAAGATGCACAACAAAACATGTCAATGCCGGAGTACTTTTTTTTTTGGGGGTCGAATGCTGGAGTACTTGACAGGCCACTGTTTTAGCCATATTATGTCTGGACAGTGTGATGACTAGCAGGAAAGAGGTTCGAGCCATTTGCATTTTACATCAAAATATGGTCAACCGCGTGTACCCCTAGAAAAGATGGTTGAATCAGGAAAAGTCATTCTCAGATTCCACAAGGGATACGGGGAAACAAAACAGCCGTTTAATCTGAAGGATGGACATGGTGTTGGAGGAGCCCTCAAGAGTATGATGGCCTGATGGCACGGACCTTGTTAACCTTTTTAATCTCTCAAATATTGAGGGTACTAGTTCTGGTGGAAATGGTTTTTCTTAGGGGAGACAACTATCAGTTTTCTAACATAGAATCCTCTTCCACAAGAAAGTATATTTGCACCGACATATCCAAAAGGTAGCAAATATGCACACGATTTAGTAACATCAGCAAGGAAAATTCCGTTGCTACCTGTCCTATAAACAAAAATGTGTAATGCAACAACCAACAATTGGACAATGTTCCACTGCAATATGGTACGTATGAAGGATCGATCTAGTAGCAGACCACCCCCATGAATGTACATATTAGAAAAACAATTTACCATGAGTGGAAGCAATATCCTGTAATCTTTTGTCAGCTCGAACAAAAGTAAAACTGATGTCAATGGCACTGAACACACAGAAGCTAATGTAGCAGCCATGCCAACCTGCAGCAATATTTTGAAGCTTTTGAGAACCAACTTTGACTAGAGAAGAGTTAATCATAAGACTTCTCTCAAAACCTCACGGCAGGGGTTTAAAATTTTTGTGTGTGTGTGTACATACATACATACCATTGCGGCAAGAAAACATACCAGTGCATATGCCTGTGGCTGGGCAACAGCAGCATTGCCTGGAATGGCAGAGTTGACAATTTCAGCAGCTGAGCCCCCAAATACAGCACCAACAGCAGCACCAATCATCAAACTTGGTGCATACAGGCCGCCTACCAGACCAGAACCCTTACATAATGCTGTAGCCGTAACTTTGGCTGCTACTAGTTGTGTCAGCAGCCAAATTCCAGGTGCAGATGCACGATTCCCAGTATGTAAAATTTCTTCCACATTTGTAAAACCCCAGTAAAGAATTCCAGGATATTTAAGAGCTATGATCCCAGCTCCTAGACCACCCAAAGCAGGACAAACAACAGTAGGAAGGCCAAATTTTTCCCTTATAAACTCGAATGATTTGGCAAACCAACTAACCAAGCGGGTGAAGGCAACACTTACTACACCACATAGCATTCCCAATATCAAGTACAGAGGGAGCTCTGCAAAATATCATTTAAAAAGGTGCATCAAGAATTCGTAAATAAACAGAAAATTTAGTGGCTCACTACATATATTATTGCCCGATATTTATCGCTACTCTTTACACAGAAACAGACAATCAAATTATTAGCATGCAAATCAAAGCCATGTGACTATTTGCAAATGTAAGTATGCTTCAAACAAAAGCTGGAGATCAATCAGTATCTACCGAGGGATCCAGGGGGAAAAAGTTTCAAGTCAATAATTTGCAAGAAACTGATGCACTGCCAGACATTACTTTGTTTTAAATTGATTAATTGAATGTGACATCCAGTGCATACAAAACCATTTGCTGTAGACTGAATATCCGAGATATAACCTTGACTGAAACAATTCAAGGAGCAGTAGGTGGTATTTGGCATTAACACACTCATGCACAACATACCAAACGTCTACAAGTAAATCCCCTTGAAAGCAAGGAAAAGAGATTGCAAGGACTATATTTTTCTGAATAAATTTGATTTAAAGGATACAGGCTCTATTGTCAAGCCCACTGCCAATCAGCTAAAATATTGTTCCATATGCATTTATTTTGTACAAAAGATGCCAAACATGAAGTGCAAATTAACCCCATCCAGTCCACCAGCCAAAGAACTAACATACAGCAACTTCAGAAGGTAAGCAAGTAAGAGGAGTCCCCTGACCAAGCACAAGGACTTTTCACATCATAAACTGCAAACCTAATAAGAAGTTAAGTGCATTAGATCTGCTGATAGTGACAGAGGAACGAAGGACAAGTTACCTGCAGCAGATTTCAGATCATATGCTGGCACGGTAAAAGCTGATTCTGTCCCAAGTAAAACATTTGATACGGTAGAGGAGATAACTGAAGCTAATATTATCATTGCTGTTGTAAAGGGAGGAGAGTTTTCTGCACGAAGAGGCCTTAAAACAGTTTCAATTGCAAAGAAAGATCCAGCAAGTGGAGCATTAAAACCTGCAAAAGGACCATGAATGATTCATTAAATATAACACAAAAATTTAAGAGCAAAAATCCATGAAATGTGTTGCCTGCATCACTTGGATGGATGGTATTCAAAGGGGAAAAACAGGAACCAGTTCTCGCTTTTCTAGACAGAAGTTGGTCTAACAGGAACATAAATTTTTCATAAATGAACAATAATGCGAGGTAGAAAAATGCATTTCGCAAAAATTCTAGATGCTAAATCACTGCAGGGAGCATGAGACTGTATAGACTTCTAATTATAGTCAGTGACTAGCATACCTCCCAAAAAGCTAAAGAAAACATCCATGCTGATCCTTCAGAGCTTTCACATGAAAATGATTCAACATATCAGCACTAACTCCACTCCCAGATTCCCCGCTCAAACAGAAAGACCAAAGCATGCAACCACCGCCTGATCTAATTGAATGTTCTTTCATTAAGTAATTCACCTAACGCCATTGTCTCGTATTCAGATAATATGAACATAACATTCAGTCAATGCTACGTGAGAGAATATGGCTCTAGAAAACCAACTTCATCTAAATAAAACATTATTCCTACACCCAACAAACTAAATCGCATGATTTCTGCCACATAAATACAATATACCTTTATAATTTGTTCCCAAGAAATTATTACATGGCATCCATCCAAAGATATCTATGAAAATCATATGCCTCCATAACTAAATTCCAAAAATGCAAATGTGGTAGTTCAGCTTCCTGAAGAATGAAACAATACAAATTCATCCATCTGAAAAGATGTTTTCATACGGCTATCAAAATAACGAGTAATCAAATTCAATGTAGCTATGACCACTAAAATAATGAAGCAAGTCACGTAGAATGTGTCCACTTTGGGTTTCAAAAGCCTTTCGTACCTGAAGAAATTCCAGCCGCGGCGCCAGCTGCAATAAGAGCTATCTTCCTTTCTCTGTTGTTTTCCATCATTATTGAGAATCCATGTGCACATGACTTTCCAATATCTACACTAGGGCCTTCAGGACCCAAAGAACAACCAGTACCCAAAGTCACGGCAGCCTGGATGGCTTTTACTGATGGAAAAACTCCAGCAAGCAAATCAAAACCCTGCCTTTGAGAAGACATGGACTGCTTTATTTGATCCAATATTTCAAGCAAACCGTGCATCATCCCAACAATAACTCCGCCTGTTACAGGAATTAGAAGAATGCGATGCCAAGTATCAGCCAATCTCTGTAGACGAAGCCAGGCAGCACCCTCGTTTGGGGTACCAGCCCATGCCCACTCATGTATTAGATGCACCTGCATATGCACTCTGACGTCAAATCTCAAGACATCCAATTAAAGTAAATGTGTCATCAGAAACATATAGTGAAAATAACAGGAGAGACAATGCCACCAATGGAATGGAACCAAAGAGAACATTTCTCAAGTGGCCAATAAAAAGTCCAACAGCACCCAACGAGAGTACACATCTTCTTCACCACAAGCAAGTACACGGCATTTGCTCGCTAAGAGAGTCAACAGTAAGCAAAATGCAGGAAAATGGGGAATATAACCTACATCTGCAACTGCTTAGAAGCCATAACAACTGGCTTAGTAAAATTCTTCTATAAAGATCTAACAGATATATAGCACAGGAAAGAGAGTGATTGCCATAAGCATGAAGTGAAGCCCTTAATTAGCAAAGAGCTCCCCCTAATTAATAGAAAGTACGCTATGTCTCACTGATACCTAACCGACCACTGAACTATACAAGAGCATGGAGTTGATTGCAAAGTGGCCAGCCCTCACATGTGCCTGGCCAGCGGCCACATGCCAGCTCCAATCTAACCCAAACTGATAGATAAACTTCAGATCCAAATCTTGTTTGATGATAGCTACCCAGCAGATCTCTTTCACTCAAAAGAGTTCTAGTTACGCTGCTGCCTTACCGCATAGGAAAATTGTAGGTCAAGGATCAAAGAGGGATTAACTAACAATGCCTACATGACTGAGCTTTCGCTGTACATAACGAATAAACCAGTTAAGTCACACCAGGTTTCGACTGTCTATATTCTCTGAGTGAAAAAGCTTTTTTGTGGAGGGTGAGACTGATGGGCAAATCTTTGCTTGCTTCAAGTACCTCGGCTTGGTAAACAAAAGACATTCAATAATCGACATTCTTCTTTAGGGGAAAGATTCCACCATTTTGCTAAGCATACCATTCACGTTCCATCATGGACTTCTCTCTTTATATATAACAGAGAGTGGAACAGCCCTGTAGCTGTAACCCTTAATTGAGCATTAACCGTAACCTTTAGCAAAATCCCGCGAGGACAGAGGTCTACGGGTGAATAATGATAAACAGAACTGCACGCATCGTATTCGTATCCATGAATCACAGAGCGACCCAAAAATGGCATGCGCGCTTTCTTGTTCCAATGACAATCCCCCCAATATGAAAAAACTCGCTATTTTTGCCCTACTCGTCTTCATAATCTAAACCAAAACTGAGAATGGATCAGAGCGCGCTGATAAAATTAAACAGAGCAACCAACTAAATCAAAGCTTCTAATGAATGAACACGCGAAAACCAGAACCGCATCGATCCAAAGTTCAATCCAGAAAGGGGAAACGGAAAAATCCAACTCACCCCGTTGTTGAAGGCAGCAACGAAGAGACCCGTCGCGAGGCCGAGAAGGCAACCGATCAGCAGCAACGCCCACTCGGGCGGCGCGCTGTCGCCCAGAACGTCACCGTCCACGTCGAAATGATGATCCTCGTCCCTCGACGAGGCGTGCTCTCTCTCCCTATCCCGCTCCCTATCCCTGTCCCTATCGAGCCGCTTGGAGCTATGGCGGCGACCCGAGAACCTGCGATCCAAGTGCTTGAGCAGATCCCTGAAACGTCCCCTCCCGTTCCCGTTCCCGTTCCCGCTCCCGCTCCCGCCGCCGCCCTGAGCCTCCAAATCGCCGCCCCCTTCCCCGGCGTCGTCCCCCGACGCCCTGAGCAGGTGGCTCTGGTCGCTGTACTCCGCCCCGGACATCGCGCGCGCTCGCGCACTCTCCACCACCACCACCACCAAACAACCACCTCAAAGCGGATTCAGCGAGCGCATCGCGCGCGGTGGCGGTGCTGGATCGGCAGCGAGCGCCACGAAGAAGAAGGAGGAGGAGGAGAAGGAGAGAAGCCGCGAGTGATCGGTCTCCTCCGCCGCCGCCGCTTCTCCTCGGTCGGAAGATTCGCTCGTCTTCCTCGCGGTGGAAGATGGAGAGGAGGAGCGAAGCCGGATCGGGGTTCTGGTTACGTCCCGCCAGGCGGAATCGCGCGACCGAACCTCAGCGTCCGTCGAACAGTTGTACCTTCCTTTTTTTCCCCCTTTTTTATAATTATAATTATTATTTTTTAAAAAAATTTCCTTTCTTGCGCGACGGATTAAGGTAAGGAAGGGAGAGAATCTCTGATTCGCCGGGAATTCAGATGATTAAGGCGGGATGCGACGCCGTTTTCGCAAGTTATTGGAATCCCACTAAAGTGGGCCATTTATTTTTTTTAGTGAATTTCCTTTTTCGCGTCGAGTATATGATGCAATTATCGAGGCCACGCATGCACGATCGTCGATGTAATATGTTCGAATGAGAAAATAATTGAGTTTATTTAACTGGTCGGACGTGGTGGGCAGTCGATAAATATTTGATGAAAGATACTTAATTTTATGGTAATGCTGATAGGAATGCTTTAAGAATCAAATGATTAAATTTTCTTATTCGAAAAAAAAAAAACTCTATTGTGACATGGTTTTCATTTTGTACTTTACACTTTTAAAGATTCACTCGTGCAAATTGCTTTAGATGAATGTTTATGTGTGGAAATACATACTTGACAGCTAGCAACATTACTTTCTAAATTAAATTTCCTATACGCCGGTGGAAAAGAAGTTTGTGTGGAGATCTTCAACACAAACAAAAAAACAACAAAAAAATAAAAAAATAAAAGTCCAGAAGCCAGCTATTATCTTTGACTTGGCTCTAGTTCTCAAAGTGATGTCATGCTTATTCTTTGTGCCAATGGGATTGTAAAAGCCCATAGATTAAGATTCCTAGTTGGCTTCACAAGTCCCCCGACTCTTTTGGGATTTGTTTTGTTTAGATACTAATCGATGTTGCTCTCCTATTTCTGCTAGTTAAGAGAATACCGGTTTGTTTCGACCAAAAAGAAAAAAATCTAAGAACACAAACGCTTCGATACTAAACACCCTTTTGGCATCAAGCATATATCCTTCACCATACTTGGTGATTTATGTCGTCGAATCTAACGTACAACTAGAAAAGTGAAACGAAAGAGGCAATCGATTGGACGCTTCCGATACTTTGTCCGCCTCATACCGAGATATTAGTGATGTCACTTTTGAGCGAACTCCCCATAAGCTTTTTAACTATGCGTTTGTATGTGCCATCTAATTGCGTAATTTGTGTTTTCCCGAGATAGTAATTAAACTGCTTCACCTCAAATTTGGATGGTGGGTTTCTAAAAGCCGCGATGAGCTATCACAATTTTGTTGAGTTTGTCTAACACGTTATGTTACGTCTTTTCGCAGTTGTAGTTGTTGCAAGAAAGTTTTGCTGAAGCAACTTGTGAATATTTTCGTGATTTGGGGACCAACAAACTTCAAAGAACGGTTTCCAAAGAGATTGTAAGGAAAAATCCTCTCTATCAACTATTAAAATAACTCCTCCTGCCTCCCCCAAACAACAAGGAACAAGATAAATGTTCATAGATCTTCCATCAATATAAATGTGCATCTATTGACTAAGGGGTGTTAATGTTAGCAAATAATAATAATTTTTGCAATTAGTATAAGAGTTTAGGAGATTCGTGATGACCACCTCAAAAAGGCTAATTGGAGTAAAAATTATGCAACTAGTTCTAAACATATTGTATGGATATTAACTCGATCTTTAACTTTTTAATTTTGTCAATTTTTCCTAGAAATCGCTCACATGATGGTTCGGTCATCACCGCCGTCATACATGGCACACTGCCACATCAGCCATTCTTGATGAAAATTGATCGGAAACATTACATTGGAATTTCTCGTAAAAGGTCTAGGACTAACTAGAAAAATTGAAAAGTTTTTTAACATGGCAGGCCAAAATTGTCCCTGGACAGTCTGGGTGATTGGTTCCCGATCTTGTCTAATAGAACCGATCACTTATTTAACATGAAGATGAAATTAAAAGAGAAGAAAGGCGACGGATTTCAGCTTTTCTTCAGCAAAAAGAAAGAGGTCCAATAATCAATCAAAGAAATCTTCCATGCTTTTCTCAGGCAAATTTCGGCCAACATGATCAAAGGAATTAATTCCTTCGAACTACGTAAAAAGGGGCAACATTTGTGCAGTGACCGAAGAGGGAAGCAAAGGAGATTGTCTCCATTTTATTTTGGCGACAAATTGACAAGGGAATATGGTCGTGAGGGAAATAGCATACAGAGAGGGATATTCTCTTTGGAAGATACTAGGAAAGATTGGTCCATAGGGGAGGAATAAAAGGAAAATATGAATAAAAAGAAAGAGAACGGGAGATTTAAGCACTAATGGGAGCGAAGCAAATCAGTGAGATCATTCACACCACTCTCTTCCCTTAGTTTTTTGAAGATATATATATAGTCGGTCCGGTCGGTCCGGTTCGCCCTTGAAATGATTTAGTTAGGACTTTGTCTCAAGATTTCCCACAGTGCTGCAGTTCTTCTTCATACCAACTAAGTTACCTCGCACCATTATTGGCATAACAACCAATACACCAAAGGTTGGCCCAACCTTGTCCTCTCGTACCGACTCCTTACGGCTTTCCCTTTTAACACCAATGGTAGATAGGAACCGAACTATCCCACAACGTTCTAAAGCCAATTCAAGTAAACCTTTGATTGGTGAGCAACCGAACCCTCATAACCTTTTCACCTCTAGAATGTGATGAGTCAACATTGAGGTTGTTAAAATAAAAGTCACAGGACTCAAAAGAAAACAAACAGAGGAGAAAACGAATGCTTTATTGCCCTTAACCCCCTACTTCATCTGACACAAGCTCTTTATATAAACAGAGTAACAACGGAAACAGCTAAAACATAGCCTAAAAAATTACAACAGAAGAGACTCACTAATGTGCAGCAACGTGCTACAACAAACCCCTGAAGAATAGCAAAAGAAACATTCTCCAGCTTATTGACCACGTAGAACATTGACAAACTCAAACATTGACTCATTCAACATCCCTCCCTTAAACTGATGTTGCAGATAAATCATTTTAAAGGAGCAGGTTAACCCTCCCCTAATCTGGAGCATCCAATGAACAAACACCAAGAAGCTTTCTTAACTTTTGAAATGTGGCAATTTTGAGAGGTTTTGTGAACAAATCAGCAACTTGATCTTCACTTCTGCAGAATACAAGATCAATCACACCATCTTTTGTAAGATCTCTCAAGAAACGATACTTCACATCTATATGCTTGCTCCTCCCATGTAGAACTGGATTCTTTGACAATTTAATGGCTGAATTGTTGTCACAAAAAATTATTGTTGCTTCATGCTGTTCAAATTGAAGTTGTTCAAGAATCTTCCTCAACCAAATAGCTTGACAAGCACTTGATGTGGCAGCCACAAATTCGGCTTCTGTTGTTGAAAGAGTGACTAAGGGTTGTTTCTTTGAAGACCACAAGACAGCTGCTGAAGCAAGCGTAAATACATTAGCCTGATGTGCTTTTTCGATCCTCAATATCACCTGCATAATCACTGTCAGTAAAACCAAATAAATCTGAACTTTCTCCTTTCTTGTAAAACAACCCAAGAGATGCAGTCCCTTTCAAATACGTAAAATATGTTTAGTAGCCTGAGGGTGTTTTTCGGTGGGACTCTCCATGTATCTACTAATAAGACTAACACCATACATGATGTCTAGTCTTATTGCTGTTAAGTACATGAGACTCCCCACAATTTGCTTGTACATGGTGCTGTTCACTTTCCTTCCACCAGGATCTTTGGTGAGCTTCAATCCAACCTCTGTTGGTGTGGCAACTGAATTGCAATCCTTCAACTGAAACTTCTCCAAAATCTCCTGCACATATTTCTTTTGGCAAACAAAGGTACCAGCAGCAGACTAATTAACTTCAATGCCTAAGAAATAGTGCATTAACCCGAGATCTGTCATTTCAAATTCATGCATCATGAATTGCTTAAATGTCTCCATCATGGCACCATCATTCCCTGTGTAAATGAGATCATCTACATACAAGCATATGAAAAGTAGTTTTCCACCATGACCAACCTCAATAAACAAAGTATGTTCATAAGGACACTTGGTAAACCCTTCCTTCAAAAAATAAGCTTCAATCCTACTATACCAAGCTCGAGGAGCTAGCTTTAATCCATATAAAGCCTTCTTTAGTTTGTATACTTTATCCTCACAATCAAGCTTCACATATCCAGGAGGTTGGTCAATAAATACCTGTTTTTGGAGATCACCATGTGGAAAGGCGGACTTCACATCTAACTGATGGATAGGCCAAGATTTATGTGCTGCTAATGCAATCACCAACTCAATTGTGTCAAGTCTCGCAACTGGCGCGAACACCTCTTTGCAGTCCACTCCAAATTCTTGCTTGCAACCTTTTGCCACCAAATGCGCCTTATATTTGTCAATGCCACCATCCTTGTTCAGCTTTGTCTTGTAGACCCATTTGACACCAATAGTGTTGTGGCCTTTGGGAAGATTTGTTAATTCACAAGTGTTATTTTTCTCAATTGCTTCAAGTTCAGCATCCATTGCATCTCTCCACTTTTGATGTTTAACTGCTTCGTCAAAAGTAGTTGGATCACTATCTGCAAACAAAGCAAAATGAATTAATGGGTCTTCACTTTGATCAACTCCGGACACCTCATAATCTCTCATCCATGCTGGCCTTTGTAGGTGACGTTGGGGGCGTGCACCATGTGTTGCAGCAGCTTCGGAATTGGGTTGCTGCTCCTAGTCTTCAATTGGGTCAGAATTGTTACTAGCTGAGGCCGAATTGTGTTGTTGGTCTTCCTCGCTAATTTCTTCAAAATCAGCTGCAATTGGTGCAACACCTTTAGCATGATCATTCCAAGGCCAGAACATTTCTTCATCAAACACTACATCACAGCTGATTATAATCTTCTTGGTCATAGGATCAAAGAGTTTGTAAGCTTTTGTTTGATCACTTACATCAAGAAAGACACATCTTACTCCTTTATCGTTGAGCTTTTTTCTTTTCTGATCTAGAACGTGGGCATATGCAATACACCCAAAAATTTTGAAATAATTAACCGTTGGCCTTCGACCATTCCAAGC